TGAAGGCTGTGCTGCCGAAGGGACCACAATGGCACCTCAGGGTGGGCACCCAGGCAGGTGCAAGGAGTGGGGAGCCATGTCTCCAGGGCTGCTCCACTGTGATCTCCACACTCAAACCAGCAATTCCCCTGAGAGTCTCTTCCCAAGAGCCCCAGATGCTCCGTGCCAGGCTGAAGACCCACTCTGCGGTACTGCACCCTTTGCAGCTTGGTCCTGATCCAACTAGGGACAACACTGCCTCATCACTGTCATGGATTTCAGCAAACCCCTGGAAAACAGCCCTCACTCCCTCGTGCTCCTTTCCTTTGTGCTAACATGTATGGGACACGGCACCCTCTCACCTACCCATCAAAACGTGCCTCCCGACTGCCATCCCTCGCACCCACATCCCTCGAGCCATATTCTGCCAGGTGCTTCCCACCGCCTACCCGGCCCGGGGCCACCACGGCCACCCCCCTCCAGCATCTCCAGTGATGAGTCCTCGGGTGCCAAGTGGACAGCTCTCATCCGATGAAGCCTGTGCCCTCGGGTGCCAGGCTGGCTGCGCTCACACAGGCAAGCTCCAGCCCACGGGCTCCTGCACAGGGACCGTCACCAGGTAGCTGGAGGGTACGTAGCCCCTCTGGCCGTTCACCTCCACCAGGCTCCACTCCTTGCTCCCCTTCTTGTCATGCGGCTCCAGCACCACCACGGGCTGCCCAGCCTGGAGGCTCACCTCCTGTGGACTCCTGGCTGCAAAGGAGAAGCCGGCGACCACCTGCGAAAAGCAGAGGAAGGAGGGAGGAAGTCCTTGCTGGACATGAGAGTCAAAGTGGGAAAGGACATACGTGGCAGGGCAGGACCTAGCAGGGACATGGAGGTTGTTTCCAAGAGGGCAGCGCAGTACTGCCATTGATGGAGGGACACTGCGGACCCCATCCAGCACAGTTCTCTTGCTTGGTCCACCCCAGGTCCCAGCAAGGCAGACACCAGCCTCATGGGGCACTCGGCCAGGGGCTGTGACACTCTCCTGCTAGGCACATGGCTGCACATGTGACCACATGTGTGCTGGAAAAGCAGGTTCACCTTCCCACCTACATGCTGCACACACAGGGACTAGCACAGAGCTGGTGGGGTTGCGAGGAATGGCCCTGGGGGGTGTCCCTCACTCTCACCTGGAAAGACGGGGTGAAGGTGGCCACCTGGGGCCTGGGAGCTTCAGGTGATGCATACGAATGTCGCCTTCTGTCTGTGCTGCTCTCCGGGGCTGGCATCTGCATCCTGGGCTGCTGGCTTTCTACTGGGCAATAGGGCTGGAGTTTTCCAGCAGGCACAAACCCTCGGGGACCTGGAGGACATGCACACACACGGGTCATGGGGCCCTGCTGCCTGGCACACGGAGGACTGGTTGGAGGAGAGAGGAATGACAACTTGGCTGTTGCCTGGCATGGCACAGCAGCCCTGTTCAAACTGTCCATCACTAGGGGATATCCAGCAGCAAAACCCCCCAAAAGGGGTTTCAAGACGTTTCTGTGTGCACAGGATTCTCCTTTCCCAGCCATGATGAGCCACGAGTGCTCCCTCATGGGGAAACATGAACTTTACAGCTAATGGCTATGGGTGCAGCTGGCAAAGCAGAGGCGGGTTTGGGCTGAGCAAACCCCGGAAGGGAGGACCCGGGAGGCAATGGCCTGCTGTTTCATCCAAGATGAGGAAGTGGTTCAGGTTTGGTTTCTGACCCTGGTGCCGAGGCGGGGAGAGGCTCCCCGTAGCGCTCACAATACCTCCAGCATCCACCAGCCATCTGCTCGTGTTCCCCTTAGTATCCACACTTTGCAGCAGAGCTACAATCTGTCCCCTCTGCAAGGTCAGGTCCAAGTCTTTGCTGCCACTGATGTTGCTTGTCACTTGGTAAAGTTTGTCTGGGCCATGCTTGCTCACGAGGGAAAGGACCTTCCGCTCCTCAGCAGGGTTCAGAGGCTGGTGGGGAGCAAGAGACACAGGCGCACTTGATGAGACAGGCAGGGGTCTGAGGCCCTCCATGTACATGTGCTGTCCTTCTGCAGGATCACATCTCAGTGAGAGGTTAGAGGAGAAACTCCTTCACACTATTTGCTCTACCTCATGGTTTGGAGACAGGTGTCCAGAACCAGAAAGGCTGAGACTGTTTCATCCTTGGTTATTCCCAGCCAGCTGCTGTCAGGGACTTGGGGGAAATAGTGTGGCTGTGCAACCCCATGTGCCACTTTCTGAGCCAACCTCCCGCCTCAGATGTTCTGCCCTGGGAAGCCACAGTCCTAGCTTTTCATCCAGCTGGCCTGAGACACCCCCTTCCCAGCTCCTACCTGTGTGACAGGGCTTGGCGTGACTGTCTCAAACATCTGGCAGAAGGTACGGAGCTGAGCACCAGACTGCTGCAAGGTGTCTTCCACCATCTTCCAGAAACTGGGCAGAGGCATGTGGCCATGGGGCATCTGTGAAGACAGACCCTGAGATCAGAGAGGGCCCTGGGGAGGGGAAGAGCTGTGGGTAGGGTCAAAAGAAAAGGAGCAGGAAAAGAGGCGAGAAAGCAAGGGAACAGACCTTGTCACTGAAGATGCACCTTGCATCTAGGATGTGGTTTCCTTTGGCCAGGAGAGCTGCTGCTCTCTGGCTTTGAGCCACCTGCCCTGGGCAGGGCAGTCACACGCAGGGCTCTTGGGCTGTACCCAGCCCACCACAGCAGTCCCCGGGTCCTGCTGTCCTGCCCCAAGCCCACAGTCCATCCCACTTGACTAAAAAGGGAGACAGGGGGATGTAGCTCTGGGGCAGATGTCTGCAGTGTAAGCATCCCAGACTGAGCAAGGGGAATCCACCCTCAAGGCTAGGTACATACAAGCAGTGCCTGAGGGATACCTCCACGTGGCTGCATCATCTTCTCATCTGGGTCATGGCTCAGGCCAGGGCCATGTTCTACCCCAGGGCTCTGACCCACCACATTTGCAAATGTCAGGCTCAGAGAGTGCTGTGCAGTGAGGAGTCCTGGGAGATATCTCCCAGGGGATGAAGGTTTGAAGGATGCTCATTCCTCAGGCCAGGAGCTGTTCTTCTCCTCCTTGTCTTCCCAGCTCAGAGCTCTCAGAAGCTCGGAGTTAACACTGATGTCTCAGGCAGCACATCAATAAATTATCAATGGTGTCCTCAAAGAGAGAGCAGGACAGTTCCTGGCAGTGAAGAAGAGACAATTTGGCTTTCCCCAGCTGAAGGGGAGGAGAGATCATTTACAAATGCTGGACAGGGAGCTGTGTGTCTGCAAGGGCAGGCTTGGGCTACAGCAAACCTTCAGTGCCCTGACATCCAAGGGATGTCCCAAGCCCAAAGAAGGCATGTCTGGCTCAGCATGTGCACCAGTTTGGGCACACACACCAAGAGGTCACTCTCACCTGCTCTAGCTCCTTTTCTGCCTGGTGCAGGATCTGAGCAGCCAAGTCCCGTTGCAGCATGCTGAGGGAGCACAGTATCTGCCCCAGGAGCTGCAGAGCTGCCTGGTTGAACCGTGGGAGCTCGGCCACAAGCAGGGCATTGATGGCAAGGTAGGTATTCATGGCTGCCTCCTCGTCGTACGTCACAGTGCCCATCTCACTCTTCCGCTCCTGGATCTCCTCATAGTCCAGCAACTTGTCCAGGCGCTTCTTGACCAGCTGTTGTGGCCCCACCAGTGGGCGGGCACCCCAGCCTGTCCAGCCGTCGCTTCTGTGAGGCAAGAGAACCCAAATTTCCACGAGCCCCCAGACAGGCCTAGCTGTCTGCATGGGGCACTGTCTTCCACAGGAGACAAGACTGGGGGACCTGTTCAAGGGCTTGTGTGGAGTGGAGAGCATCTGAGGGATCCTTCCCTGAAGGCACATAGGAGGCCAGCCAAAGCAAACCCTTGGTAGACAGCAGTCATGCATGCCATGACTCAAAACTTGTGCTCCATGCAAACAATCTGGTAGGACCCTCACAGACAAGGTTCCATGGGTCAAGGGGGTGCTGCAGTAACTGTCCCATGCAGGTGATAGTGTCCTGGTTTGACGGAGGCCCTCAGCCCAGGATCTGTGTGGTTATCCCATGTAGCTCCCTCCCCGTGCTGGTGCTCTCTGGGGGTGCTAGCATCCAGGCGTGGGGTTCAGGCTGCCCTGCCACACTCTTCACTGCTCAGAAAACCTCCGACTGCATTCATGGTGACACCCACCATGCAAGACGGAGTCCTGGAGAACAAGCAGGGGTGGTGGAAGGAGACAGGTAAGGGCTCTTGGGCTCCCAAAGGTGAGCGCCCACAAGGTGTGGGTAGGTTGGCCTAAGGTTTGGTGGCAAACACCTTGTGTGAGTCAAATAAACAGTACACTGGTTTCCCACCATCCTGTGCTCCGCTGCAGCCCTGCCTGCATGGCTGGCCATGAACACGTCAGGGCCCTGAAGGCACAAATAGTCTTTAATGGCCCAGACCAGCCTCAGCTGGGGCCTCTGCCCACACCCCTGCCCACAGCCCATTTAAGGGCTCTCAGCTGTTATTTAAACATTTCTGTGGGTGAGCTGGTTTCTGTCTCTGTCTCCTGGGTGGGCCTTGGACCTCTGCTGTAGGTAGCTCAGCTCCTGGATAGACCCCTCAGATGGACGTTGCAGCTTGTCTCCAGCACTGGATGGACCTTAAAGCTGTGTTGTAGCTATGTCTGTGGCCCTGACTCCTTTTGTTTCCTGGATGGACTCTGCAGCTGGTTCTTCATGTCATGTGTATGGGACTGCTGATGGACCCTGTTGCCTGTCCCTTCATGTTCAGGCCCCAGGGGACTGTGCCTGTTGGTGAGGACACTGTCTGTTCTGGGGTCCCCCTCAGCTCTTGGCTGCTGTGCCCTGGAGCCGACCCCGCCTGTGCCCTGGCAGAAGGTGTGAGAGCAATGCTTGGCTGTGGCCCTGAAGGAGGTATACAAGGAAGGAACACTCACAAACTCCGGGAAAACAGTGCAATGGAGGTATTCTGCAAAGTGGCGGTACTGCTGGGCAGGTCCCTCATTGATCTGCAGCTCACGCTTGTGTGGGGTGGGCAACAGGCATGCCTGAAAGGGAGAAAGCCATCAGATCTGACCTGCAGAAGCTACCCAATGCTAGCTAACCCATCTATAATCTATCCCTATAGTCCCAAAGATGTGACAATATCCCAGCCCGGGTGCTCTGTGCTAGCAGCCCAGTGGGACTGATGCTCTGGGCTACTCTTGTCTGCAAGCTAGGGAGTTCATTTAGGTGTTAACAAAGCTTTCCCCTTGAGCAGGGGTCATGCACTGGCTTGCAAAAGCAAGCTACCCCAGCAAGGTGGCCAAGGCTGCCCTGTGGCCACAGGCAGCCTGCCCCAGCTTGATGTTGCCTGATGCTTTGACACTTGAGTTTCATGCTCCAATAGCTCTATGGAGTTTCTTGTATTTGTGTACAAAATGTGCTGCTGGGATGTTTTGGATGGAGACCCTCATCTGCTTTGAGAGGCTTTGCTCTAATGTTAACTGGGCAGTGCCCTCCTTCCTGCCTGTAGGCAGATTTTGACCCACAACCTCTAGACCCAGGGAGGGGAGCACTGAGCTCCCAGAGCCCCAGTCTGCTGCTGGTGCCAAGCAGGAGGAACCTCCTGTTCCTCCTAGGCCTGGCTTCTCTACCGCTTGGAGCACTGCCCCTGCAGTCAGTCCTGGAACAGCACAACCAGTTTCTGTTTGATTCTCAACCATGGCTACCACAAGCCTGAGTGCCCTGATATCTGTCCTAAATCTTGCCTGTGGTTGTGCTCAGGAGACCCTTCTTTTGTAGCCCTCCTTGCCACAGGAGGGACTGGAGACAGAAATATAAAAGGGGAAATGGATTGACCCTTTGAGCAGAAGGTGGTAGCTCCGAGACCTGTGTGCTTTTCCTCAACCCTACAGGGGCTCTTACACAAGCAGAGGTGGCTGTGATGATCTTGTAGGCACCAAGATCTGCCTCTCCTTGTGGTGGGGGCACTGGTAGAGACAGAGGAAACTGGTAGCCAGCACAAAGAGAGGCCAGGCTGTGTCTGCCCTATGAGAAAATGTCTTCATTGGCTCCTCAGGATGTCTCTGAGAAGCTCTCAGAGGGAGAGAGATGGGGCATGCATGCAGCTCCATCTTCTCCTACCAGCAGCTCCTCTGAAGCTGCATCCAAGCCCCAGCATGACTCCTAACCACAGTTTATTATCTAGGCTGCCCAGCCTGTTTGCAGACACTTGATGTCCTGCCTGAAGCCAAGAAGGATGGCTTACAGAGATGCAGCTCACTGAGGGGCACTGCCTGGCAGGTCCCAAGGAACAGTCATGCCCTGTCCCCGTAGCTGATCTCACTGTCATACAGATTGCCACTTTCATGTTTTCTATTCAAATCCTATCTTACCCACTCCTTGCGCTACAGGGAGTTTTTCTGTCCCCTTTTCCTCCTTCCCAATCCTATATGGGGAGCCCTTGTCAATATTTTCATGGCAAGGTCTTTCCAGCCCTTGAATTGCTGCTTTCTGAACCCTCTGCCATTTCCTGAGACTTTCCCCATAATACAGTGTCTGGGGATTTCAAGTTTTGCCATTGCTCATACTTTCATTTCCCTCAGATGCCCCAAGGGATTCCCATGAGAAAATCACAGCAGCTACTCAGCTGGGTCATCTCATAAGGGAAGTCTGTTGTTTCCCTGATTTGGGAACACTTCTGCCTTATACCTGTTATGCAAGAATTTGCAGGCTGAGCAACACTTAAGCCGTAGCTATTTAATGCCTTGAAATAATGATCAGTTTAAGGACTGATTATTCTCAAGTGACACCCAGCTCAGACTGTGTCAACAAAGCCTTGACTTTGTTGTAAGCTCTGCTGGACCTGAGTGATCCTTGGATGCTGTGCAAGCCCCTGGCAAAACATCTTTAGCTGAGAGATTCAAGTCACTAAACAATCCCAACTGACACTGGTTTCCGTAGGGCTTGAAAGTATTCTGCAACCCAACCCCCTGCAAGTTATCAGAGTTTTACCTCTAAATGGCCCAGGTAGGATGCCACGTTCTCCTTCAGCACAGCCACGCTGGACACCACGCACTGGAACTTCTCCTCCAGGTCATCGTACTCCCTGTCCTCCATCTGCAAGGCAAGGGGCAACTTATCCCCAGCACGGGCAGGTCAGGCAATGCCTCGGGCTGGGCTGGTGTCCCTCACTGGGTGCTAGTGCAAAAAGCAGCCAGGCACCTGCCTGAAGCTCACAGTGCCGGGGGACAGGCAGGGGAGACCCTGAGAGGCTCCATGCATCTGAAAAGGGCCAAGATCTAGGGTGCTTGGGATGCGTGCAGAAACAGGGCGTTCGGTGCGACTGTTTTGGTGCTGGGGAACACCAGGGTGTCTTTTCTTTTGCTGGGGTGCCTGAAGGTCCTTTGGGGGCCAAAGTACTCCCCTGCAGCACTCTGAGCAAGGTGTGTACCTGCATCCCTCCTACCCCACTGGTCCTTGGGACTGGGGACCAGGAGCCATCCTCAGTCTGCTCGGAAATGGGACTGTGGCCCATGTGACAGCACGGGCCACTGGGTGTCAGCATTGGCCGTGCCACCTCGGCTCCGCTCTCCCCGGCTGGCGAGGCGTCTCAGGAGGGAGCAGAAAGCCCCAGTAACAACCCAAGGAGAGGCAGTGGGGTGTGGGCTGCCCACCTTGGCCACGATGCCGGCCTCGTGCATGAAGAGCCGGCTCAGCCGCGTGGTCTTCTTGGCGATGGAGTGCGTGTTGAGGCGTGCGAAGCGGTCCCGCAGCGTCAGGTGCTCGGCTTTGTTGTATTTGGTTGCTGCCTCGGGTAGGGGCGCACAAGGTGGGAGGAAAAAAGATCAGAAGAGGAAACTTCAGGGCAGCATCCTCAGCAGCCTGAGTGGGCAATGTGGGTGAGCAGCACTGACGCCCAGAGCTGACAAGTTGTGATCAACAGGATAAGCACAACCCACATCAAAGAAGGGCAGCCTGGGGGAAAGTACTATGAAAACCAAAAAGAGGAGCAAGCTCCCGTTTGTGGGGAGCCTGATTTCTCCTATCCCAAAGGCAGGACTGTTCCTCCCCATTCCCCAGCTCCAGGAATGCAGACTGACTGGTTTGTGCTCAGCTCTCTCATGCCACTCTGCTCTTGCAGCCTTCAGATCTTGACCAGAGCAGTGCTGGGAGCTGCCTGCACAAGTCTACAGCTCCACCAGGCAGGACAGGTGGTGGGCAGGAGAGCTTTGAACTGATTTAAGTGGGAATTAGTGCAACACCAAGGGGAGACGACTGGGGTTGGGATGGGGTTTCCCAGACGCCATGCCCCCTGCCCGCTCACCTACTTCCCTGCGCCGTTTGTACTCGTTGATGTTGGCGTTGACCTGGGCCATGGCGCGGACGGCTGCCTGCAGGGCCGGGTAGGCGCTGGCGCTGGTGGGCGTGTTCTCCAGGATCTTCCCCAGCAGCAGTGGATACTTGGTGACCCTCTGCACCGGCATCACCAGGAAGAAGCTGAGGTCCGAAGCGCCTGTGTGAGGCCTGACACAGAGGGGAATCGCTCGAGGTCGGCATGGAGGGCTGCCCTCCTGCACCGACGCTCCCTCCCGCTTCTCTGTGAGCATTGTGGGGAGAATGCAGCCCCTCTCCAGCTGCAGGGGAGCTCTGCTGCCTTGGAGCCATGGGGGAGCTGTGCCCTGCAGCCATGAGGGTTTCTGGCTGTGAACCCCTGTTCCCTGCCAGCTGTGGGGCTGCCCCCCCGAGAGTGCTGGCAGAGGGACACCGTCCCCGCCATCCCCAAAGGCAGTGCCAGCCCCGGGCAGGCGCCCTGCCTCCCTGAACAGTGCTGCATTTGTCTAGCTAGGAGGCACGGGATCGGTGCTTGCTCCGGGGGCAGTGGGGAGGGAGAGTGTGGGCAAAGTGCTGGCAGGACTCCCCTTGTACCCGCACGCAAGGCATCGCTCGTCAGGGAGGCACATTGCCTGTGCCCTGAAACAGAGCAGCAAATCCCAGCAGCTCCGCTGGTGCCACTCCTGCTTCTCCTGGCTCCAACAGTGTTTGTGACCCCCTCGATAGTTCAGGAGGGGTTTGACAGGTCCCCCGGAGCCAGCCTGTGTCTCTGGTCAAGCTGGGGAACATGTGCCCTCTTTGGCTTGTGAGTGATGTGAGGGTGTGGAGCAGGCAGCTGTGGTGCCAGCCCATCCCTTGCTTTGGGGTCCATCATAAAAGGCCACCAATCTGTAGTACTGCTTTGGCAAGTGGCCCCAAGGATGCAGGACAGGCTGCCAGGGACTACATCAAGCAATGCCACAGAGGTGATGGCTGTGATATTACACTCAGCCTGGTGGTGCGTAGCCGTGCAGGCAGCTTGTCCCAGTAGGTAAAACGTGGAGAGAGAGGTGGTGGCCTCAGCGGCAGGTACCTACACTGTTACATTCAGGGTCTCCAAGATTTCCTCCTGCAGCCTGGGGTCCTTGCGGTAGCTCTCCACCAGCAGGAGAGCACGCTCATAGCTGGCACAGTAGATCTTGTAGACGGTCTCCATCTCCTCCTTGAACTCCTGGAACAAGGCACCTGGGGAAGGAGAGTGGGGACGGAGAGTCAGAAAAGGAAAAGGTTTCTCTCCAGCCTGTTGGAAGGGTGAAGCCAGCAGAGCGGTGCCAGCCAAACATACTGGGGCAGCACTGCACCCCCAGGCACCTCCGCTAAGTTAGGAGGTGATGAGATGATGCTGCCCCTCACCCCTTTCCTTTCTGCAGGCTGGGCAGGTCTGCCTTGCCCCCATGGGGTGAACATGGGTGGACAGCAGTGTGCAGGCACCAGTGCTCCCCCAGGGCCCAGAGCCAAGGGGGGCACAGGAGGCATCAGGGCAGGTGGGCTGGGGTTGCACCCAGGCACAGTGCAGGGCGGTGAAGGCACCCAGCTGCCCACGCGGGTGAGCTCTCGGCATTGCCCCACTCACTGATGCAGAGCAGCTGGTCGTGCTCCTGGGTGGCTGTGGCCTCGAGCCCCTTCAGAAACCTTCTGGAGACGTGGAGGATGTCATCGGTGTTAGAAAAGAGTCCTTCCAGGTCAAGATCAGGCAGCTGAAAGGAATAAAGATGTTCCAGGGTAAGCCAAGTACATCAGACAGACTTGGACTGTGCATCCTGGAGGCACTCATGCCTAAGCATTCGTGTCCTTCCAGCTGCCCCACACTGACATCCAAGAGCTGGAGTAATGCTCCACTTCAGAAGGCATTGGAGATGCTGAGACCTGGCTGTGCTCCTGAGTGGGGCAATGAGGCCTTTCACATGTAGGGTTAAAGCTGTAGGACAGCTGTAGTGGGTCAGACCCAATGTCTGTCCAACCCAGGACCTCAGCTGATGGGGGGGAGCCCAGGAAGGTGGAAGGTGAGCATGTGGTGACCTCCCTGCAGTGATTTGGGTATCTCGCAGCTCTCAACAGGTTCACCCTACAGTCCCAAGCCTCCAGGCAGGGGGACAATACCTCCTCTCACCTGTTTCTTCTGGAGGTGTGCCCGGATGTCTGACACACAGAGCTGGATGTTGTGGACATAGCTGGCCTCAGTGGTGATGAGCTCCTCCACAGCCAGGCGCTGGCTCAGCTCCATCCTCTCGCAGGGCATCACCTCCTCATAGATGGCTTCTTCGGGCTCGGCTGTGCCCTCAGTATCAGGCTCTGCCCCATGGGCACTTGCCATCTCGGCGGGACACTCTGCAGGGGGTGGCAAGGGCAGCCCTGGGACCGGTGGTCCAGTGCCCAACCCAGCTCAGTGCCCATGCTCCCTCCCCTGTGCTGGGGGCACCCCACAGCCCGTCCCTGGGGACACTCAAGCTATCTACATTTACAAGCAAGGCATGGATGATACTCCAAAACCATAAAACCATAAAGGGCTGCAAGCCAGGAGTGGGCTGGCCTTGGAGGGCAGACACCCGCGTGTGGCAGGCGGGGACTTGCCACACACACGTGCCCAATCTCTAGCAACCACATGCAGGGCCAGGGTGCAGGCAAGGGGACTCCCAGCCGCAGGCCGGGACGACCCGCGCGCGTGGAGCGGGCAGCACCCGCCCGGCACTGGGTCTGCGCAGGGGCTGGTCCCTGAAAGCAGAGCGAGGTTTGCCTGCCAGGGCTAGCTGTTCCCTCCCTGCCTTGCTGCTGGCGTCTGGCACATTGCCTTGCCTTCAAGACTCCTATTCAAAGTACAAAGAGTGTTTTTGCAGTGCTTGAACAAGAGGCGTTTCTGTGGCAGGGAGAGATGATTTAAAAGTGATGGGGATGGGGGGAGAAGTGGGCGAAGCCGCGGGGGGCCTCTGCCCTACCCAGCACAGCCTGCTCCCCTTTGCTCTCTGCCTGCGGAGAGCATGAAAAATCAGAGCTGATTCTTGCCGTTTCCTTCTCAAGGAACATCATCTGCTCTAACTGATGCAGAGGAGGATGGAGCAGCTCCCAACAGATAGTGCTCGGTCCCAGGCGGGAGGCCTTGAGAGACACGGCACAGCCCACACCAGCACAGCGCACAGCTTGGCCAGATCCAGACCCCGGCTGGGGGGAGGGATGCTGCCGGGCAGCCTGCCCGTGGAGGAGGTGAAGAGCAAAGGCAGGACGGAGGTGGCCTGGTAAGATAAAAGTGAGATGGCACAAACAGTGGCACAGGGAGGGCAGCTCTGCATCTGCCCTCCGCCGCCTGCCCAGCCAGTGCCAACCTCTGCACCCGACCATCAGCCGGACTGCGTCAGGCCAGGTGCCCGCTTCGGAGGCTGCAGCGCTGAGCTCCTGCAGTGGGAGCAGTGGGAGGGACTGGCAGGCCCAGCCTCCCCTGGGGAAGGGTCCAGCTAACAAGCAGGTGATGCAGTTGCGAGCACCGGGCAGGGTGAATGTCCGCTCCCGGCACATGCCCACAGCTGTGCTGGAGGAGAGCTGGGCTTGGCACAGGACCTCTGCCTGCCTTACAGGGGCATGCTACCCTGCCAGTTGTCATCCCTGCCCTCTGCAGATTTGGCTGCCACCCCTGCCTGTGGCATGGCATTGGCTGGCGATGTAGGAGACGCTTTCCTGTGTCCTTTTGGGTACCTCAGAGGTGTCTAGGCAGAAGGATACCTATCAAGGACTGCTGGACAAGCCCAGCGTCCTCTGCCTGGGGGTAACAGCAAAATCCTTGCTCAGAGGAAGGGCTGCAGTGGAGGCAGGTGGAAAGCCCTGATCTGAGATACCCCCTGAGCCCTGGAGAGATGCCCTGCAGTTCAGGGGTATGCAGGCACTGGGGTGTCACTGGTCCCTGCATCAGCATCCCCCAGAGCACGAAGCTGGGGAAACCCCTTTCCCTCTCCTCACCCCACCCCCACCCCCCCAAGCCTGAAAAATCAGAGGAACAAGGGAATTGTGAAAAACTGTAAAGAAGCAT